CCGAAGCTTTTCGATTGATAAGCGTTATAAAAATCACACTTATAGCTTTCAAAGTTTATAGCACACTGATTATAGCGAACTACTAATAGACACTCTCCTTGGAGCGTCGCGTTGGTTATATTTATGGGCGTGGGCACGTTTTCTAGAAAATTCAGATTACATGACAATACTAGTTAAAGCGTTTACGTACATACATTTTCTTTTGATTCTAACTCTCGAGAATCTTCTACAACTTTGGAGAATAGGCGGGAGTTTCGCAATACATATCTAACACTATAAGCTATGCATGTTTTTGAATATAAATTTAATCTAAACAAACGTTGATATTAAAATACATATATAACAACAAATTCGTTACACTGGCGAAAAGCTTTAGCAGTTATTTCTATTGCAACATCTCAACCAACAATTGGTCCAGTAATCAACGCTAATTTTTTGGTTTTGAACAACTCGACTTTCAAGATCTACGTATCTACGTGAGCCGATGTTTCCATTTATGAACGTTATATTTTAAGATCTGTGTAAGAACTCAGCTAACAGGTGTTTCCGTATATCAAAAATTTTTTTCAGTGTTATTTTTGTTTTTTAGCAATATGCTACAGTTTTTCCTATATGTTTTACAGATGCTGTCCGACTTTTTTTATAACGCTCCTAATGATCTGGCTGTAAATCTACACTCTGGTGTTGGCAATCCCACGTGGATGTGTGTCTTTGACTCCATATCTCGACACTCAAAACATTATTTGAGTCGAGATGCAGGAGAGAGCATTCGAAACTATGGTAAGTCAAAACTCTCTAACACTTACAATGTAGTTATTATAAAGAATATGAAAACGTTAAAATATAAATTTAGTTATATAACTACTCATGAAAATTCTAAATAATGATGATAACAATATTTTAAAGTGTGAAATAAAAGGTCTAAATGAGTTATTTAAAGTAAATTACCCCCTTCCCTCCCAAGTTATCATCTAGTTTTATCTCCTCTTGTGAGAAAAACGCCCAAACTTCTATGTATAAAAATCAACCAATTCTCAGCTGTAGGTTTGGTTTTTAATTTCGCGCAAAGCTACACGAGGGCTATCTGCGCTAGCCGTTCCTAATTTAGCAGTGTAAGACTAGAAGGAAGGCAGCTAGTCATCACCACCCACCGCCAACTCATGGGCTACTTTTGCCAACGAATAGTGAGATTGACCGTCACATTATAACGCCCCCACAGCTGAAAGGGCGAGCATGTTTGGTGTGACGGGGATTCGAACCCGCGACCCTCAGATTACGAGTGGAGCGCCCTAACCACCTGGCCATGCCGGGCTCTCAGCTATAGAAAGTAGGCCTGTATATATTTAACATGCAGTGATATTAACACTTGAAAGCGTATTTATTTTTTTACTTTTAAATAACAAAAATGTTATGAATTTTCACAAGCAAGGTAAATGTATTTCTAATAAAAAGTCTAATAAAAAAGACCTAAAATAAATTTTCAAATAGTATGAAATCCGTTATTATACACTAAATGAAAATTTCAACATACTAGGTTTGTTAGTCTGGTTTATTCATATAGGTAGACTTAATGTGGTAATAAATTTTGATTTTTTAATTCTTTATCATTAGAACACAGTAAAATGCATGATTTGTTTTTTCTGCAAAATATAATTCCGACGGGTTAGAGTGTATTATTCAAGAACATTAATTACTTATTGGCTTATATTTTCTTTAATCCCGTAAAATAACAGCAAATTTTAAGAATAGTGTGTTTAAAGGAAAAGTAATATAATAAGAAAATAGTTTGATTTTACTTAGATAAATTTTTTAAAAAATCTATTTTTTTTATTGTAAAATCCCAGCAAGACCCATGTTTATTTGGTACTTGAATTTTCACCATTAGAAATTCAAAATGGTCACCTCGAGTTTGGTTTAGGTTGAAGTACTCACCATTAACCGCATGTAGTAACAACACTTAGACGTTTACACTTTTAACCACGTATTCCTGAGGATGGTATTTGTATCTATCAATAGTTTTGTGTGTGTGTGGTTGGGGGGGGGGGGGTGCTATGCCTAAGATTAGTTTCCTTGGATTATTTCATCGACCTACCTGCTATAGAGTACAGAGATTTCTTGTACACTTCTGCTGTATAGGATTGGTTAGGAGGCTACAAGGTTAAAGGTCGCAAGTTACGTTGTAGCTAATTCTAGCAACACTTAACAGTAGAAAAAAGAATTGAGAAACTATCTGCTGTTGAAGTTAAATCAAAATTAGTATCAAGCTGCACGAAGCGAACGATCATTATTATCAGTTATGCTACAATATTTATCAGAAACATAGAGTAATGAGCATCTTATGTACATAGATAACATACAACTGAATATAATACCACTTAGAAACATAGAGTAATGAGCATCTTATGTACATAGATAACATACAACTGAATATAATACCACTTAGAAACATAGAGTAATGAGCATCTTATGTACATAGATAACATACAACTGAATATAAACATAGAGTAATGAGCATCTTATGTACATAGATAACATACAACTGAATATAATACCACTTAACAACTCAGATATTAAAATATTTTAAAGTTATATGCAAGTCATATATATACGATGGATAGTTTAGTCACAAATGTTATTATAAATATAACGGTAACTGTGTATAATAATGTAACATCAACTAGAGACAGAAACAGTTGTGCATGTGTACTAAAAGGATCACTAGACAGAACTTAATCCAGTCGTTCTGGGTGAAGAACGTATATCTTATAATACGCCTGTTAATGCTGTGAAACACCCGATGACGGAACACATCAACTTAAAAAAAGAAAAAAAAAGAGACTTCAGAGTCAGAGCATCAACAAACTGTGACGCACAACAACCAACCCAAAGAAGGTGGTTTGACTCTGTGGTAGGGATCTGAATTTCAGAACTGGCAAGTCGGATTCGAATCTGTGCGATACCACAAAATACCCCCCTCCCTATTTTAAGATGTAGGTGCGTTATAAGAATAACAACCAATCCATTAGGATGGATGGTGGGTGGTATGGTGCTGATGACTGTCTGCTTTCTCTCCGGTTTGTAGCTTAGAATTACGGACGGTGGCAGATAGCCATAAATACAAATATTATCTGTCAAGAATTAATTTGTGTTCGAATACGTGTTTGAACTTTTAGACGCTAGGAGTGAGTTTAATTATAGGTAGTTCAATTACTTTTTATTTTTAAGAATTTTTAATCGGCTACAGTATAGAATCTATTTGGCTAAAAAAAATATACTTTGAATGGCCTACTTTTAGAATGTCCCGTTTTGACAATTGTCTGTGATTTTTCAAGGCTTTCCTCACTATGACATTGCTTTACGCTCTAACAATTCGCATGACAGTAACGTCCCAAAATCAATTACGCCAGATGAATACAGCCGCATAAAGAAGTGGATCCAAATTATACATAACTTTGCAGAGAAAGGGTAAGTCATATGATTTTATTAAATAGATTATTGGAAAACAACATTTTCATTACTGCTTATGAATCTAGGTAATAAAGACAAGGGTAAAAAAGATAACGGAAAAAAGACGAATAAAAGACAATGGAAAAAAGTCAATCGGAAAAAAAGACAAACAAAATTACACAAACAGGTAAAAAATCAAAATAGTATCTCGGAAACACAGTATCAATAACAGCTAAGCCAAGTCTTAGCCAATTATTGAAACCAGGTAAATGAACTGAGTTAATAATTAACTTATTAATAATACAGTTTTCTAATCCCTATGTCATCCAGCCGCACAGCGGCATCTCTGCAGACTTACAACATTAGAAATCGGGTTTCGATACCCGTGGTGGGCAGAGCACAGATAGCTCATTGTGTAGCTTTGTGCTTAATTACAAACAAACAAACTAATCCCTAAAATATAGGACTTATTTTTTTTACTTTTTTACCTGTTTATATAATTTTCTTTGCCTTTTTTTATCCATTGTATTTTTTACCCTTGTCCTTATTACCGCCACTGACTACTTGTTACTGAATAAAATGGCTCAGTTGTTTGTTATATATAAGGCTTAGCAATGTTATTCTTAAGATCACAAAATAGACAAAAGTAAATTAAACAGTGTAACACGATGCTATTGTTTCACTACTGCCTAATATAGTCTACTTTACATTTTATTAAGATAATGACTCAGCTAAAAATACGTACTGACCAAAAAGCTGATTGGACCGGGTGTGACCTAAGGTTTAGCGTGCCATATTGTGAATCAGAAAGTCCTTGGTTTGCGTCTCATTTCTGCAAAATCACGCTCCACACTTTGGGGCCATAGGCGCATTATAAAAATGATGGCTAATTCCATATATTCTATTATACTAGCCCAAGACTTGACTACTGGTGTTATTGCCTTCCCTCTAGTCTATTAGTTGAAATTGATATTTTTCCTGTTCGTCATTTCGGCTAGTACAGCACAATAATGTGAGTGTTCTTCAACGCTCCAACTTACGACGTACAACTTAATTTTGAAAAAGGTCATTTAAAGAGATAGCTATTTAATGTAATTTAATTAAGGCCCAAAATTTTAACAACTTTTCATTTTTCAATTGCAGTCTTCAAGAGATGGCGTGTTTGTCCAAAGTAGTTTCTACGATTTTCGTTGAAATTTGCTTGGTTTATGTCTATACCTTTTAAAGCTGATGTTTAGGTTTTTTAATAATTAACTGTTATAGTGAACATGTTCAATATTTTGTTGGATTAATTATTGCCCTCAGTGGCACAGCAGTATGTCTGCTGAGTTACAACGCTAGAAACTGGGTTTTGATACCCGTGGTGGGCAGAGCACATATAGCCCATTGTGTATCTTTGTGCTTAATTACAAACAAATAAATAAGCATTAATTAATTATTAGAGCTCAGGTTTTATTTGGGAAATGTATTTAGGCCCGGCATGGCCAGGTGGTTAGGGTGCTCGACTCGCAATCTGTGGGTCGCGGGTTCGAATCCCCGTCAC